GACTTCTGGCCTCCTTGTCTGTGAGGGAATAAAGGACTACTGTTTCAAGGCATTAGGTTTGTGGGGATTTGTTACCGCAGACACAGGAAATGATTACACCTTGTTTCTTGAAAAGACTTTTTGAGGTTTGAGGAAGTTTTCAGATTTGGCTGAGAGTTTGTGGATTACTGTTATAGAGCAAGGGAGAAATTCCACAATTTCTCTTGTGAATCGGTTTCCTTGTTACCTACTATACAAAGATTCTTCACCATAATTCCATTTAAATATATCTGTCCTGTTCTATTTGCCATAGAACTGAAATTACTATAGGGAACCAGATATTTAAATATGGAAAGGATGAACCTCAGAAAAGCTGTTAGGAAAGTGAAGAACATGGAAGTGAATTTTCATACTACACCAGAAGAGGAGAACTAGCACCAAGTAAGAACTGAATTCCTGTTGATGGATTTACGTGCTTGATGAATTTGGCTGACAGTTTAACTCTACAGGAAAAGCACAGTTACAGTAACCCAGAAAAGTAGTTACTTCATAAGTGGTTTCATATGAACCTCAAGTCATAAACAGGCTGGTTTCTATATGATTATCAATGGTAATAAACCATTTTGCAAATGGACACTTTGCTGGATAATGCTTCTTATATAATAAGAATAATTCTTGGTTCAGTGAATCTAAACAAATCGGAGGGAATTATTGTACTGGGGAGAGGTGTTAAGTGATGTCAGGGTCTTGAATGTCACCACACTATGTTTGCCAGTTCCCCAATGGTTTAAAACTTCCAGAGACTGGGTAAAGAATTATATCCTCTGTTATTTATTTACTTATTTATTTATTTTTGAGACAGAGTCTCTTTCTGTAGCCCAGGCTGGAGTGCAATGGCACAAACTCAGCTCACTGCAACCTGTGCCTTCAGGGTTCAAGTGATTCTCCTACCTCAGCCTCCCCAACAGCTGGGACTACAGGCATGCACCACCATATCCAGCTAAGTTTTTTGTGTTTTTAGTAGAGACAGGGTTTCACCACGTTGGCCAGGATGGTCTCGAACTCCTGACCTCAATAATCCACCTGCCTCAGCCTCCCAAAGTGCTGGGATTACAGACATGAGCCACCGTACCTGGCCTACAACCTCTTTTAATAGTAAGTTAAAAGAAAGCTACACAGATGCACGTGAGAATATACTTTCACAGATACTGCGTTTTAAATAGGAATCAGAAAGTTCCGCCAACTGCATTTTATTAAAGGCATGGCCAAGGTTTGGTTGCTTCACTAAAATGTGACCATTTTAAAAATTATCAGTCATCAAAATTATTTTGCAAAGAAATATGAATAGAAGAGTAGGGAAAGAAACAACTATCTAAATATATCTGTCCTGGCTAGTAATACCACATTTCTGTATCGCATTATTTCACAGATACGTATAAATAGATATAAACAGATGTCCTAAGTTAGAGCAATAATGTCTTCCACCCTCTTGCTTATTGGCTTTCTCCCATATTTCTTCTGCATTTACATTTTTTCTGGTATAATTTCAGATTTGAGGCGCACTTGGTATGAAAAGGGTCCATGTTTTCTCCACTACATTTGTCTCACATTCCAAAACACAAAGGGGATGCCATTCTTCAGAGCAGCACCTGCCACTTGGCCTGCTGCTGGACTATTGCTTAAGGCGCAGATCTGAATGCCCTGGCAGGTTTCTCCACCCTACAGTCTTAGGGAGCTGTGGCCCAAGGGCAACTGCAAAACCCACGTGTTGGAATAACTTAGCTTTCTTGTGATACTAAGTAAACAAACAGACAATGGCCCGAGTATATGGCAATAGAACTCTGCCCCACAGAAGAAATGAAGCGTAATACCTGCAAGACCAACTCAGAACAGTCGGGACTTACTCAATGGCTGACAGCTTCCTTATTTTTGCCTCTGCTTCCAACCCAGGACAAACCAGAAAACCCAAATACACCCCACAAACAAGTGACATAATATACTCCATCTCTACTTATCCCTCCTCCAGCTTCTCCAGAGTGACAACACTCTGCAAAGAGGACATACCTGAAGTCGCCCCCTTTTTCCACTAAAGCTTTTCCTCTTCCCTGTCTTTAAATTACCTCCTTTGTAATAGCAAGTTCTGGATATATAGCCTCTATTTGTTCTTATGGGGTGGTCTTCATTTATTTCCATGTGTGAATGATGATTGTGTTAAACACAATGATTAATTTTTTAAAAAAGGAAAAAAACTCCAGCAATTTGCAATAGAATCTTTTTTTTTTTGAGAAGGTGTCTCACTCTGTCACCCAGGCTGGAGTGCAGTGGTGCATGCCCTGCTCAGCTCACTACAACCTCCACCTCCTGAGCTCCAGCAATCCTCCCACCTCAGTCTCCTGAGCAGCTGGGACTACAGGCATGGGTGACCATGCCTGGCTAAATTATTTTTTTTATTTTTGGTAGAGGTAGGATTTCACCATGTTGCCCAGTCTGGACTCAAACTCCTAGGCTCAGGAGCTCCATCTATCTTGGTCTGCAATACAATATACTTTTATACTTTGTATATAACCACCTGAGAGCTTTGGCCCCTAGTTGTGTTTGAGAGGGAAAAGCTGCCTTTTTTTTTTTTTCCTTTTCTTTTCTTTTTTCCAGCACAAACGACACAGAAAAAGCTGCAATTTTTTAAAGAAAGTATGCATAACTATTAATAAATTGATTTTTTAAAACATGTATTTGCCTGATTGTGCTTCTGAAAAGTTGTCAGTTTGTTTTGAATTTGTAAAAAGAAATTCTATAGCCAAATTAAATTTAAGAGAATTTAATGGAGCAAAGAACGATTTGTGAATCTGGCAGCCTCCTCCGCCAGAGTAGGCTCAGAGAGAATCCAGTGCTGCCATGTGGGGGAAGATTTATAGTCAGGAAAGGGAAAGTGAAGCACAATGTTTGCCTTATTTCAACTTGGTTTGAACAGTGGAACCTCTGATTTACAGAAACTCGTGGATGGGCACAAGAGTAGGCTACAGTCTGTTTACACCTCCATGTAGGTTACAGTTCGCTATGTACAGAGAAAGCTTTAGGCCAAATTTAAATCACATAGGGAGGCAGCTTTAGGCTAAAGTTGATTTAACAAATTTTCAAATTAACAAATGAAAATTGTGGATATTATTCACTTTAATCTTTAAGAGTTTAATCGGCCAGGCGCCTTGGCTCACGCCTGTAATCTCAGCACTTTGGGAGGCCGAGGCGGGTGGATCACGAGGTCAGGAGAACGAGACCATTCTGGTCAACCTGGTGAAACTCCGTCTCTACTAAAAATATAAAACTTAGTCACGCGTAGTGGCGCGTGCCTGTAGGGGAGGCTGAAGCACCGGGGAGGTGGAGGTTGTAGTGAGCCGAGATCGCACCATTGCACTCCAGTCTATGCGACAGAGCGAGACTCCATCTAAAATACAAAAAATTTATTAATCAATATGCATTATAACTTCATTTTTGTAAAAAATATACATATATATATATATATATATGCCTAGAAAAGAGTTATGGAGAGGGGACAAGGGATGTTTTTATTTATTTATTTTGAGACAGACGTTTGCTCTTGTCGTCCAGGCTGGAGTGCAATGGAGCGATCTCGGTTCACTGTAACCTGCGCCTCCCAAGTTCAGGCGATTCTCCTGCCTCAGCCTCCAGAGCTAGCTGGGGTTACAGGCGCCCGCCACCACGCCAAGCTAATTTTTTTGTATTTTTAGTACAGACGGAGTTTCACCATGTTGGCCAGGCTGGTCTTGAACTCCTGACTTCAGGTGATCTACTCACCTCGGCCTCCCAGAGTGCTGGGATTACAGGCATAAGCCAGCGCACCCGACTGGGATGTTTATTTTCTAAAACATTATTTTCCATAATGCATGTTTTTTATATAACTTTAAAAAGAATTAGAAACGTTTCTGAATTATTAATGATTTCCTTAAATCTTTATATATATTTCTCCATAAAGAGCAGTTCCTCAAACTGCTTCACCTCAACCCTGATATTAAATATTTTAAAAGTAAATTTATTAAATCTCAGAAGAAGCACCCTTTGAATACTCAGGAAGACGTTGTAACCCATAAGAAGACAGTAGGGAAGTAAAAGCAGTTTCCACCACTCTCAGACTGGCAGTGGTGGCTCACACCTGTAATCCCAGCACTTTCGGGAGGCCAAGAAGGGAGGATCGCTTGAGGCCAGGAATTCAAGAGTTGCCTAAGGTAACACACAGCCAGACTGCATCACTACAAAAACTCAATTTCACCATTCTCAACGCTTTTCTCCTTTTTCTTAACCAAATATTTCTGTAACTTTTTTTTTTTTTTTTTTTTTTTTTTTGATATTGAAAGACATGGGAGAAGGAAGAATCCCTGAATGCAAGAGACTGGAAAGGATGCACGACAAAACGCCCCGCTGTCTCTGGACGCCCTACCAGCCAATCCCCTCCCTCCTGGGGTCCCGTCTCAACCATCCCATCCCGTGCTTTGGGGGTGCCTTTCCCTACCAGATTCTTCTAAAGCCCTGCTGCACCCGCCCTTAAGAGGGAGGTAATGCTTCTGCGGGGGGCTGTGCCTTCTTCCACTCGGCCCCACCTTCGCCGTGGACTAAACAGGAGCCATTGGACTAAGTACCCTGGCTCCGGGCCCTGCAGACTTTCACCAAAAACTCAAAGGCTAAGGAAAAGTAGGGTTAGGCTGAAATGCCATTCAGTGCTCGCTGTAAACTTCTTTCCAGGAACCACCCGCGCAGCGTAGTAAGTCGGAATACTCAGTAGATCTGAGCCCGCCGGGGAGGCGCCTGCCCCTCCTCCGCGCAGCCCCCGGGCTCCTGGCTCCGCTCCCCGGACCCGGGTCCATTGAGGCAGGCGCGCCCAGACCTGAGACGGGCTGGGACCGGGCGGTGTCACGTGCGGGCTCAGAGCACCAGGGGCCCCGCCCAGTGGCCGGCGCAGCCAATCGCAGCGCGGGCAGGCGGTGGGGGCGGGGGAGGCCGCCTGGAAACTTAAATCCCGAGCCGCGCGCACCTGGTCCAGAACCGCCAGCTGCTGTAAGCTCAGTCCTGTCTGCGCATCTCCGACGGCTGCTGGTGAGCGCCCCCGACCAGACCGAGGGGCAGGGCCAACAGCGACTGGAGGAGGGAACCCCCTAGAGGGACAAGGTAGAGGAGGCAGGCGCGACCCCTGGGAGTGAGAGCTTCTGCCCCGAGCTCTGCCAGCCTCGAAGTGGGGAACCGGGGAGGGCGGTTGGAGACCCCAAGGAGGGCCCGGGCGGTGCAGGTCAGTCACTCTGCGGGCTTCACCGCCGCACCCTGGCCGCGGAGCCCCAGCTCCCTGCACCACCGCAAACATCCTCAGGACGTGGCGGGCGAGTGCGGAGGGCGGGAGCCGGCAGCGCGCCCACCGCCCCGGCCCTAACCCGCCCGGAGCTCCCACTGGGGGCCTGGCGAAGAGCCCCGTGAGCTGCCTGCCCCGGTCCGCGCCCTGGCCCTGGGGCCCCTGCCTTCCAGCGGCGCGGCCTCGTGACCCTGTCAGTGTTTAGGGGAGTGAGTGGGGATGTTGGTAGCACAGACCCAAGTGTGGGACGGTGGAGTAGCGAGTGCTCTCCTTCCCAGTGTATCCTGGAAAGGCATTCCAGAAAGCTTTCATTCCAGGAGGAGAGGTTGGAAGACCTCGCTCATCTCCTGATGTGTATCAGCCAAGAACCTGTGAGGTGCTGTTCCTTGGGGATCACCCTGCCCCTACTTGGGATGGTGTGTCCTCATTAGTGAGGTTTTGCCTGGATGACCTCAGTACAATTGGTGCAACACCTGGACCAACTGTTTCCTAGTTTCCTAGTTATTGCCTTAAACTTCTCACCCGTCAGGTATCTTCACACCCCTCTCATATCTGATACCCTAAATTATCGCATATGCTGTTTCAACTTCTCGAACTCTGTGCAGCCTGCTTTTCATTCTGGTGGACCCTTCAAATACCTTGACTTGGCCTGTTTCTCGCAGCCTCTTCCACCGTCTTTGGGGAATTGCTAAGGAGAATAATAGAAATATTTTTATTCCACTGGGGCTGTAAAATGGCTTTTTGGACTCGTCTAATCAGATACTCATTTCTTTTCCTTTTCTAGGTTTTTGAAATATGAATCTTTCACTCGTCCTCGCTGCCTTTTGCTTGGGAATAGCCTATGCTGCTCCAAAATTTGACCAAAATTTAGATACACAGTGGTATCAGTGGAAGGCAACACACAGGAGATTATACAGCACGGTTGGTAACATCTGAAACTGTCCAGAGGGACTCTGGAGAGAATGGTCCTTGCTGTTCCGAGTTGACAGCCAGAGAGTAGCTTCTAGAGTCCAGACCTTACCAGGCAATAACCTAACAGCACCCATTATGAATGCAGTATGGGCATATATCTCCATTGTGTCTCGGCTTAGAGAACAGCTGAAGTATCAAGCCATCCCTGGCCATGATTTCTCTTCCATTTCTGCCCACAGATCGGCTCGGTGAGCGTGGGTTGGGTAAGTAGACATAATGTCCATCAGCTTTCTGTTTGCCTCCAGAATGAAGAAGGATGGAGGAGAGCCGTGTGGGAAAAGAATATGAAAATGATTGAACTGCACAATGGGGAATACAGCCGAGGGAAACATGGCTTCACAATGGCCATGAATGCTTTTGGTGACATGGTGAGTGTGGAGAGGATTGTTGAACTCTGTGCTGCTTCCCCTCAATTCTTCACCAAAACAGTCTTGCTTTTAACATTTTATTTACTTCTCCTTGAAGACCAATGAAGAATTCAGGCAGGTGATGGTTTGCTTTCGAAACCAGAAACAGAAGAATGGAAAAGTGTTCCGTGGGCCTCTGCTTCTTGATCTCCCTAAATCTGTGGATTGGAGAAAGAAAGGCTACGTAACTCCAGTGAAGAATCAGGTGAGACAGCGTCAGATTCAGACCTCTGGTCTCCACAGGAAAGCCAAGAAGAAAATTGGTATGGTTGCTTTGGTAGATGGTGGCGCAACATATGGTGATGGGTGTTTTTAAAGAAAATTCAGATAATTCAGATATATGGGCTACTGTCAGTTTTTGTATTGGTCTTGTAAACTGACAGCTTTTTTATTCCCTGTTTAGAAACAGTGTGGTTCTTGTTGGGCGTTTAGTGCTACTGGTGCTCTTGAAGGACAGATGTTCCGGAAAACGGGGAAGCTTGTCTCACTGAGCGAGCAGAATCTGGTGGACTGTTCACGTCATCAAGGCAATCAGGGCTGCAACGGTGGCTTCATGAATTATGCCTTCCGGTATGTGAAGGAGAACGGAGGCCTGGACTCTGAGGCATCCTACCCATATGAAGCAAAGGTAAATGGAGCTCCTTATCTTGTTATTCGTGCTCTGCTTTTGGAAAGTGGAATCCTTTCAGAGATAACAGATATTTTTTTCAGAATTCACATTTTAGATGGTAGAATCTACATCTGCAAACTGTGAGTATTGTCATTATAAATTATTAGCCTTTCCACAGCTCTCTGATTAGATGGTCAACAGCTAATGTTAACACATAGCTAACATTAGATGGTTAACACATAGCTGTTCTTGCTTCCACATAACATGAAGAATAAGCAAACTATTCTATAAATAATAGAACTTTATCAGCTGTGAGAATTTTTTTATGGACAGATTGACCTAGGGGTTCACATGGAAGAAATGTCAACTAATTTTTCAGTTGCAAATCAACAATTAGCGTTTTGTTTCCTGGAATGATTTATAAGGGTGTTGATTTGGAAATCCTAAGTTGCAAATCACTGAGTGTTTTGGCTCTAGAACTGATGTTCCCCAGGAGGTAGATGGTAGTGATCAAGTTTCTCCCCCTTTAACTTTTAAAGGATGGAATCTGTAAGTACAAACCTGAGAATTCTGTTGCTAATGACACCGGCTTCGTGGTGATCCCTAATCATGAGAAGGAACTGATGAAGGCAGTTGCAACTGTGGGGCCCATCTCTGTTGCTGTTGATGCAAGCCATTCGTCCTTCCAGTTCTACAAATCAGGTAAGTGTTTGTCATTTTATTATAGAAATTTAAGCAGAATTGGGCAATACCACCATGATTGGTTCTTTGATGTGAAGTCCTGCTTTGCAGGAATGTAGTATTTTGAGAGTGTGCATTTAACATAGTGATGTTTCCATTTGACATGAGAAATGCTTAGTTATGTTAAAATTTTCATAAATATTATTAAATGACTATGTAATTGTATAGAGACAACCTAATTTTCCAAACGATTTTCCAGTTGCTGGGCCTACTTTTCTCAAGGTTTTTTACTACTGTAATTAGGACTACAAATAACCTCCTTCAAGTTTCTGTTTGTTTATTTTGGTGCTGTTTTAGACTGACATCCTAGGAGTAGAAAGGAATTATGCTGATTGGTATTTGGGCTCAGAGATAAGTATCTCTAAATCACCTTAGCTGTAAACAATAAGTTTTATCTTTTGGGTTTTCTTTTTCTTTAGGTAGAAAATATCGTGAACATTACTTGAAGTTAGTTGATTTCTAGTGAGATGAGGGTGACTTTTTTCCTTTATCAGCCATTACCGTATTCTGACCAATATTGTTTGGGTCCTTATTTAATATTTGTTTATGACATTTCACTGAATTTAGAGATGCCTCCCTTACAGTGGGTGGTAGGGTGAGTTACTGTCACATGTCACTGGGAGCTTCTCCCCCCAGCATTGATTTTTACTCTCCCAGGCATTTATTTTGAACAAAAGTGCAGCAGCAAAAACCTAGATCATGGTGTTCTGGTGGTTGGCTACGGTGTTGAAGGAGCAAATTCAAAAGACAACAAGTATTGGCTCATCAAAAACAGGTATAAAACTCAAAGTATTATATTTTAAATTGAAAAGGGAATTTTTATTTCAAATCAGTATTTGGATACAAGTTCACAAAAGCTCAATTTTGAGATCCCAGAAGTCTTTCTTCTACTTAGAGTGAACACAGAAATATTAATGTTTAGCTTTTTGGGGTTATTACTCTGTGTTGGTCATATTTTATTACTAAGTTTAAAAAATTTTTCTAATTCTGAAACACATTAGGCCTCCAGGGTTTCAGAGGAAGCACTGTGGACCTCTAGGTTTGAGAGCTGATAGCTTTTCTCTAAGTTTTCAACAAGGAATAGTAAGCAGAAACACCTGCCACTGCTGGCTCTTTGTTAAGTCTGAAAGATCATGCGGGAATCCAGTGGTCTGTGCACCGTTCTATTGTCATTGGGTGCCCCATCATCGAATTTCACTCCCCAGCTCTCAGGCTTTGAAGGTTGTCAGAATCCATTTTTCTCACAATTAGCATTCTTTAACTGAGATGTGATATAAGGTAGCATGTGGAGACAGACTGCTACATTGGAATTCCAGTTCTTCCTCAGTATCTTAAAAAGTTAAGGACCCACAATAATCAATACATTTATTTATTTATTTGAGATGGAGTCTTGCTCTGTCACCCAGGCTGGAGTGCAGTGGCATGATCTCAGCTCACTGCAACCTCTGCCTCCCGGGTTCAAGTGATTCTCCTGCCTGTAGCTGGGACTACAGGGACACGCCACCGTATCCAGCTAATTTTTTTTGTATTTTTTAGTAGAGTTGGGGTTTCACCACTTGGGCCAGGCTGCTGTCTAACACCTGACCTCATGTGATCCACCCTCCTCCACCTCCCAAAGTGCTGGGATTACATACGTGAGCCACCGTGCCCAGCCCATTTTATTTTATTTTGAGATGGAGTCTTGCTCTGACACTCAGGCTAGAGTACGGTGGCATGATCTTGGCTCACTGTAGCCTCCACCACCTGGGTTCGTGTGATTTTCCTGCCTCAGCCTTCCAAGTAGCTGGGACTATAGGCATGCGCCATCACATGCAGTAATTTCTGTGGGGTTTGTTTGTTTTCTTTTGAGATAGAGTTTTGCTCTTGTTGCCCAGGCTGGAGGGCAATGGTACAATCTTGGCTCACTGGAGCCTCTGCCTCCTGGGTTCAAGTGATGATTCTCCTGCCTCAGCCTCGCAAGTAGCTAGGATTACAGGCATGCACCACCACGCCCAGCTACTTTTTAAAATTTTTTTAAATTTAGTAGAGGCTGGGTTTCACCATGTTGGTCAAGCTGGTCTTGAACTCCTGACCTCAGATGATCCACCTGCCTCAGACTCCCATAGCGCAGGGATTACAAGTGTGAGCCACTGTGCTGGGCTGACTTTTGTTTTTTTAATAGAGACGAGGTTTCACCAGATTGGCCAGGCTGGTCTCAAACTCGTGACCTCAAGTGATCTGGCCGCCTTGGCCTCCTAAAATGCGGGGGTTACAGCTGTGAGCCACCGTGCCCGGCCTCAATACATTTATAAATAGATATTAACAGCACTTAATAGTGCCTGACACATGGGAAGTACTGTTAAGTATTAGCTATTATTATTAATGGAGCTAATTTTCTTTTGATTCTTTGCATAAAATGGAAAACCTGCTCCTCTTTCAGCTGGGGTCCAGAATGGGGCTTGAATGGCTATATAAAAATCGCCAAAGACAAGAACAACCACTGTGGAATTGCCACAGCAGCCAGCTACCCCACTGTGTGAGGTGATGGATGGTGAGGAAGAAGGACTTAAGGACAGCATGTCGGGGGATTTTTATCTTGAAACCAAACGCTTATTGTGTAAGATGAACCACTTGAATCATTGAGGATCCAAGTTGTGATTTGAATTCTGTGACATTTTTACAAGGGTAAAATGTTACCACTACTTTAATTACTGTTATACACAGCTTTATGATATTGAAGACTCATTACTTAATTCTGACTTGTGAATTTTCATTTTTTAAAAAGATATACAAAACAGTTTAAAATAAATTTTAATTCATATGTAAAGGTGTTCCTTTTCTATGTTTAATGCATTGGCTTTTTGTGTAGTCAGGAAATACAACTGAGCTCTGAAATAATAACTCCAAGTTAATAACTCCATGATGTATTAGGAGAAAGATGCTGGGTGGCTTCCTGGCCCTTCTAGTTATAAAAATACAGATTTTATGTCAGCTTCCCAGAACTGTGTGTGACCCAACTCTTGAATCTACCAAAATTTGACAAACAATTTGGAAGGACAAACCTAAATTTTTTTTTAGTAAAGGAAAAAGAGTTGACTTTTTAGAAAAGTGAATAGGCACAGATTCATAGGTTTTAGATAGGAGAAAGGGAGATGTCTTCTTCCTTTGACACATAACCTCAAGATGGTTAGGGTCTGTGACAAAAAGTGAAGTTGCTTGTTATTGGAGCCTCTCTCTGAATTGCTGGTGACCACCTTGCAGTCTGAGGAAGAATCAGGTGCAAGTAGATTGCCAGGGCTATTTTATTTTCATTCTAAGTCTCTGATGACATATTCCACCTAGCTCTTCTAGAAAAGCTTCTTTGTTAACTAACGTTAGCAAAAATAAATTTACTGGTGTGGTTAACAAATCTCAGGCAATTGACAATAGCTAGAAAAATATGTTCAGGGCCTGCAAGAGATCAGGCTGGGCTACAGAAAGAGGCCTCTGGTTGAAGATGGATAAGAGATCACAAGCAAAAGGTCAGAAGTCACTAGGCCAGACTCTGGCTCCCTAATCCCTGAATTAAAAATAAACTCGAAACGGGGGGAGAAAAGGCTAAGCATATAGTTACATGGGTAGCAAATACAAGTAAAACTCTATCTTTGCATATTTAAAATACTGGAAGAAAGTACACCAAACTTGTGGGTGAATTATGGGCAATTAATTTCTTTAACTTGTTTAGGGGAAAGCATGTATTTTTATGAGCAGGAAAAAATAGTAAAGATATACCCACATTCTGCAGGCTGATGGAGAGCCCTGTGTGTGTTTAAAAATACCGTGTTTCCAGTCAAATAAGAAAACTCGGGGGATGGGCTGGTGAAATTTAATTGAGAGGTGATCCATTGTGAAGGCAATGGGAGATACAGGGACTGTATATCCTAAAACCCTTCGATAGCCTGTGTCCATAGCCATCTGAAAAACCCAGCGTAGCAGATTCAGTCTGAGTTTTCTCTCAGAAAGGATTCCTTTGTCTTTGCAGCAGCAGGCTGAGTCAGTATCCTCCACAGATTCCTAGAACAACAACCCAAGGCTCTAAGGAAACATCTAAGCACTAAATTGAATGAAAGAGTGATGGCTTTTTAATCAAATAATAAAACTTCAAATCTGTCAAGACACTACCCCTCAGAAAGCTAAAATCAAGATTTTATAATTTTCAAAGACCTTTGAAATATTTTAAACTTGTGAAAAGTTACAAACCTTGTGTGTTGTCTAAAAGCATTTTTCAAACAATCCAGTAGACTTGAAAAATCTAGTCTGAAGCACAAACTTAACCAGTATTTCCTATACTCAAACATCTAAATTGTTTGTTTTCCTACTTGAATTGCAAAGAAAATAAGGAAGGGTGAGATAGAAATGATTCAGCATATTAAGAGGGAGGAGTCTGCTGATGTGGGAGTGTAGTTATGACATTTGGCCATCATACTAGAGGCGATGGACTCAGTAATTAGGAAACATCCCCTCAGCCCGACATGTTTTTCACGTGTGTGTTTTGCCTGCAAAAGTTGAAACTGTGTTTTCTAAATTTATTTCCCTTTTAATGGATACAAAATTCTAAAAAGCAAAAAAAAAAACTTCTCTGTATTAAAAATAAATATTAGTAAATGTATATGTACAGTCATGTGTTGCTTAATGATGGGGATACATTCTGAGAAATTTGTCTCGGGTGATTTTATCATGACATGAACATCACAGAGTGTACTGACACAAACACAGATGGTGTAGCCTGTTACACACCTAGGCTATATGCTGCAGCCTGTTGCTCCTAGGCTGCTCACCAGTGCAGCATGTCACTGTGCTGAATACCATAGACAGTTGTAACACAGTGGTATTTGTATATCTGAACAGAGAAAAGTGTGGTAAAAATAGAGTATCACAATTTTATGGGACCACTGTAATATCTGCAGTAGTCACTGACCAAAACCTCACGTGGTACATGACTTGTTTGTATGTATATCTCAATTGTAAACAATTTCACAAATGTTCATTATTTTTAAGTAAGTTGGTAAGTAAAACTATTACTAAGCTTCACCATGTTCTCTTTCTGCAGTGTGTTCAGTCATTCAGATACAATTGATCCTTGAACAATATAGAGGTCGGGGCACCAATCCCTGTGCAGCCAAATACCTACATGTAACTTTAATTCCTCCAAAACTTTTCTACTGATAGCCTACTGTTGGCTGGAAGACTTGCTGATAACATAAACAGCCAGTCAACACATGCTTTGTGTATGTATTATACAATACTACATTCTTACAATAAGCTAGAGAAAAAATGTCATTAAAAACATCATAAGGAATATAAATTATATTTACTAAGTGAGAGTAGATCATCGTAAAGGTCTTTATCACTGTTGTCTGCACATTGAATAGGCTCAGGAGGAGGAGGAGGAAGAAGCAGGGTTGGACTTGCTGTCTCAGGTTGCAGAGGTGGAAGAAAATCTGTGTATAAGTAGACCCTCCATTCAAACTCATGTTGTTCAATGGTCAGCTCTGTTTATTGGGCTCCTATGCAACAGCAGTGTAGCACTGGGCTGGGCTTGGGGGACACAAGAGTGAAGCAAACAGTCACAGAATTTTATACCAGAATTTTAAATCCCTCCCTTGGAGCTTACATTCTCATGTTGCTGAGCCCATGCCTAACCTCCACCTTGCCACCACGGCCACTTTGTTCATGGGCCCCAGGGTGGCTGGGGAAAGAGACTGATTGGTATTCCTATTCACTCAGTTATTAAAATCCTCCTTTGCCGAGGTCACCCCTCAGTGAGAATTCACATGGGATACAAATATCTTCACCTCTTTTTTTTTTTTTTTTTTAACCCGGACAGGTCTGTTCAGGTATGCATTCCCCAGACCACTTTATAACCAATTTGCCAATCATGTTCATGACAAGTCCATGGCTACCCAGCCAAATCATTAACTGTAGCCCACTAAGTGGTATATAATCATACATCTGGTTATTCCTTCTCCCAAGGACAATGAACAGGCAAGTACACTGCTGAAAGTTTTATTTTCCTTCACCTCTGTTCTTCAGGGACGTCTCACAGAGGGGCTGTAATACCGCAGCATCCACCGCTGATTGGCACCTGGATATTGTACAGAACCAACTGTAAATTAGGCCCAAGTTTTCTCTTCCTCAGCCAAATGATGATAGAACTCCCATAGGTGTGGGCTGGGAAAGAAAACATGATGTAGTAGGATTGAGGACTGTCAGTGTTGGGACCACTTGTTCCTGTAACACCTGTGCCTTCAGCCCCCCATGCCCCATCACACATAACAGCCATCCCTTGATATCCATGGGGGATTGGCTCCATGACCCCCTGCAGATACCAAAATCCACCAGTGCTCAAGTTCCCCGTGTAAAATGGTGTCGTATTTACATATAACCCACACACATTCTCCCTTATACTTTATCTCTGGATTCCTTTTAATGCCTAGCACGTTGAAAGTGTTATGTAAGTAGTTGTTACACTGTACTTTTTTAGGGAATAATGACAAGATAAAGAAGTCTGTACATGTTCAGCACAGATACTACTATCCTTTGTTTAAAAGAAAATTTCTATCCGGCGGTTGCATCCCACACAGTTTGAACTGCAAGGGTTCACGGATGCAAAACCCATGGATACGCATGACCAGATGTATACCGCCTCATCTGATGTTGGAGTGCTGTTCTGCATGCCTAACTATGGCTTGGTGGTCAGACAATACTTAGGTTGCAGGGCAGCTAAGTGGCCCATGATTGAGCAGTCTCTACTAAGCTCCAGACGCAGGCCAAACCTGCTTCTCAAAAGCAGAGTAGTTACCAGCAGAAGACGGCACACTTCCAAGTCCTAGGGTCCACTCTGTGATTTGCCTGTTGAGGCCTGCCAGTGGTTTCACATAGCATCCCTATCTGCCACTGCCACTTCAAGCACCATTGGATCTCCTGGGACATAAAGCCCAAATGGGAGAGCAGCTTGCACAGCAGACTGGACCTGTTGCAGAGCCCGCTCTTATCCTGGGCTTAAAACTAGCAGTTGCCTCTGAAATCCAAAGAGGGCCTAAGGGTATTATGCCCCCTTTTTTTTTTTTTTTTTTTTTTTTGGTTGTTGCATCAAGGGGCTAGATGCAACACTTCAGAAGGGGTATCTTCACTTTAGAAGGGATATCTCAACCACTAGATTCCTAGAACTTTCACTGAAGTGAAAAGCCCTTGAATTTTTGTAGGATTTATTTTCCACCTCTGACACGCAAATATCTTAGCAATAAAGTCTAGAATAGTTGCTACTTCTTACTAGCTCCAATCAGCATTATGTCATCAATGTAATGGACCAGCGGTGATTGATATCTTATAGAAGGGAAAGGCAATTAAGATCTGTTCAGATTAAATTATGACATAGGGCTGGAGAGTTGGCATACACCTGACGTAGGACAATGGCGTATTGCGGTCTTGCCACCTGAGACCAAACTGTTTCTGGTGGTCTCTACTAACAGATATCAGGGAAAAAATATCTTCTACATCAATAAGTGCATACCAGGTACCAGGGGATATGTTAATTTACGTAAGCTATGAAGCCACATTTAGAACAGCAGCTGAAATTGATGTCCCCACCTGATTAAGTTTTCAGTAATTTACTCTCATTCTCTAAGATCTATCTGTTTTCTCCACAGGCTAAATAGGGGAGTCAAAGGGGTATGTGATAAAAAGCACCACCTCTGCTTCCTTCAAGTCCTTGATGGTGGTACTAATCTCTGCAAGCCCTACAAGAATGCAGTATTGTTTTCGGTGTGCTGTTTTTCTAGATAGAGGCAGTTAAGTAGCTTCCACTTGGTATTCCCTACCATCATTGCCCTCACTCCTCAGGTCAGGAAACCAGTGTAGGGAACTCTGCCGTTGGTAAGTATGTCTACTCCAATTATTAATTCTGCAGCTAGAGAGACAACCAGACTGGACTCACTGCAAGACAGACCTGAACTAAAACTCCATTGATCACCTGACCTCCATAAGCCTCTACTCTCACTTGTGGACCAGAGTGATGTATTAGTTTTCCTGGGGTTTTCTGACTCTGAGTTCAGAACCAATGTCCAGTACTCTCCCCAAAGTCTGATTATTCCCTTTTCCCCAAAGGCACAGTCAGTCATCTTGGTAAAGTGATATAGGTCCTTTTGGGGAAGTCTGAGAGAAAAATGAACAGTATGAAATTTTGGTAGTGCCTTGGGGACAGAGCCTCCTCATTATTTAAGGAGCTATGGGTCTGAAAACTGGCCCAAATCTTGGAATTGATTCAGGAGCTGTGGCTCCATTTTTTGGATTCGAGTTAGACTTTTATTCATTTGACTCTTCTGTTTATACAGAACAAATAAGAATTTAGTAGGCTTTCCATCTATTTTACTTCTATGGATACTATGACCAGCTAGCCAATGCCATAAGTCTCAGTAAATCAGACTTTCTAACTACTGTTTTGACTTTACCGTCCATTACAGTAACCATGTTCACCTTGTCTTTGGTGGTTAAATGCTGCCACTTGACTCCTGCCATCCTGGGATCTAATTCCTCTCCTTGCACCTAATGACCCCAGTTCAGAGGCAGCAGTTCCCACTGTAATTTTGGACCTATAGCGCAGAGCAACCACAGAGCTCTTTAAAAATACTGAAACTCCCTCACAAATTTATTTCTCACAGTCATGACAGAAAGTGGGTCCTGGGCTAGATGTGTTGGCTCACACTTATAATCCCAGCACTTTGGGTAGCCAAGGTAGCAGGATTGCTTGAGCTTGGGAGTTTGAGGCCAGCTTGGGCAACTTAGCAAGACCTCACTCACCTCTACAAAAAAAAATTTTTTTAATTAGCCAAGTGTGATGGTGCATGCCTATAGTCCCAGCTACTCAGGAGGCTGAGGCAGGA